TGCTGGACGGTGTTCTCGATGGCGAAAGTTCCATAGTGCTGGACGGTGTTCTGGATGGAGAAGGTTCCATTGTGCTGGATGGTGTTCTGGATGACGAAGGTTCCATAGTTCTGGACGGTGTGCTCGATGGAGAAGGTTCTATTGTGCTGGACGGTGTCCTCAATGGAAAAGGTTCTATTGTGCTGGACGGTGTTGTTGACGTGGAAGGTTCCATTGTGCTGGACGGTGTTCTCGATGGCGAAGGTTCCATAGTACTGGACGTTGTTCTGGATGGAGAAGGTTCCATTGTGCTGGATGGTGTTCTGGATGGCGAAGGTTCCATTGTGCTGGACGGTGTCCTCGATGGAAAAGGTTCTATTGTGCTGGACGGTGTTGTTGACGTGGTAGGTTCCATTGTGCTGGACGGCGTTTTCGTCTGAGAATGTTCAGCGGAGGAACTAGGGATCTTCGAAATTTTTGGTGTTGTGGAAGGAGACTGTTCCACGGAATTGATGGGTGAAGAAGAAGGTGATGGTTTCATGGACGACGATGGCGTGCCGGAGTGTGAAGGTGTCTGCAACATTGATGGGGAAGCTGACGGATTTGAACTTTCTGATATAGTTGGGGATGGACTCCCTAATAGAGACTGACTTGCAGATGCGGAGTGTGATGGACTGCCAGTTGTAGAAGGCGTCGGAGAGACCGACGGCACAGGTATACAGCAAACGCTTGCGCATGAATTGGGAGAAGTCTCATCGGGATCACATTTATAACTGTTCTCGAAATCCGGGGCACAATTGACGGCAACGTTCTCTTCCCTGCATGACGTTGCTGGCATACAGCAAGTTTTCACATTGCATGATCCTCCCGAACAGACAATTGTATCGAAGTGGGGACGTTTGATCCAGGTCGGAAAATCGTTACAGATATCTGGCACACTTGTGCAATTCATTGTTTCACAGCTCGACTTTAACGTGACAACTGCGCTTTTGAGATTATTGAATTTACAGCAGTCATCCCCTTGTGAAATAACAATTCGATTCTTCTGACCGGGTACAATTAGTTGCTTTAGATTAGCAGTGCCTTTTTCATTCAAGTAAACGTAGCTATCTGGATCTACGACACCGTTGACTTCAACTCGCGATCCATCATCCATACCATCAAAATCGACGGTGAAATGCTGTATAGTACAGTTCTGAGGCATGTCCAAAAAGGCCTGGAAATATGTGAAATCTAAATATTGGTAGCATTTGACTGGTGCATCACAAAGCAGAGAATCGCGTTGCATATTAATGATGTTAAGGTCTGGTGGGTTGTTCCATTCTTTATCTCCTGGAGGTGGCACTTGCGCATAATCATACAGACACTTGTCTCCGTGTTGTCCTCTTTTAATCGGACATTTGTCTGTATCGCGTTCTGCATCATAGCTAGGAGATGATTGCCAGCCATCCGGACCTAGTTTTGCGTCGACACCTGCATGCTTCTGCCAATCACTTAGGGTGACGCTTTCCGTTGCAAGAACATCTGCTATCTGTAGAGCGATGATCACCCAATGAACAGCCAGTTTTGGCTTCATCGTCGAGTTATGTCTTTACTTACTAGTATTAATTGATAATGTGATTATTGCCGGAGAGTTCATTTTATATATAATTTATGACGAAAAAAAACCGCCACGGTCACTCACATGCATTCTTAACCTGATATTTAAAATTGTTCTGTCTGCCTCAAGTGATCAGGGTTGACCATTTGTAGTCGTTCGAACAAAATAGTTCAATACAGATGTTGATTTGAGGGAGTCCTGTAAACATCAAGTGCGTTCGATACCCGTTCTATCCTTTGCCGAGCTCTCATATCCATACTGTTCGCACTACTCTTATGTAGGGGATATTTTGCCTTGGGGGTCTGTTGCATTTTCTTCGCGCATGAGCTTTGCCCGAAGGCATTCCGAATTTATTTTTGATATCATAAGATGCTTGTTTTATTCTATGAGAAATACCGCACGAAACATTTGACCGCAAGCAGCGGCAAACTCACTAGTAAAGTATTTACTGTGACAACCTTTTTTCAATACTCTGGTGATCTGAGAGCGCTGTCTTTAGAGAAATTAGAAAAATAGAAAGCATCTAAAAGTCGATATGTCGTGAAGGTCATGTTAAAAGAAAGATGACTGCCGCAGTGACTGCCGCAGTGACTGCCGCTGGCCCGGCCCGGTGGTGGCCCACTGTATGCTGGGTGCATGACTGCATGTTGCATTCTGTAATCTCTACTCACTCACTCACTCTTTCTCTAAAATTCTGAAGTCTGAACTCTGAAGTCTGAAGTGAACAGTGTACTCAGTATACTGGATTTAAGAAATTAATACAGTATGGTATATTTTTCCATAAAATCATCCGCATCAAATTAAAAATTGAGTGCGAGACTGCGAGAGTACAAGTTGCGAGCTCGGAGCGCAAATATATGTCGAGTCCGCTCAGAAGGGACTTCAAAAATTTATATATATTTTTAAAAATTTAAATAAAGTGCGAATGTTTTTTTTCTTCAAGTTCAACTTTTTTGCCTTTTATACTATAAATGTTTGATTTCAATGATTTCTAGAAAGCTAAATAAATATGTGATTAGGTTGAAAAAAACATGACCCTCTGGCCTCTAATCTCTATTTACAGTACATAGAGAGGAAAGAAAATATGACTGAACGAATGATCAATGAACAGACTATTGTCCGTTTGGAGGAAAAAAGGAAAGAAAAAAAACAAAACTATGGCAAATTCAGAAATTCTGTTCAATTTTTAGAAAGCCATAATGTATGCGAATTCAAAGAAAAATAAATCTAAAGTCTCATGAGGGTTTCGGATTTCAGATTTTTGTTTTTGTATGTAGGCGATAAAAAGTAAAAACAAACGTGTACAAGCGTGTAGGCCGCATGTATGACGTATGCATAAATACTAAATCGGCACTGAGCGTCTGAGGCTCTGAGCCTTTGACTGAGAGGCAGAGCCTCTGAGAGCCCTGAGGCATTACAATTTACAAATAGGCTGCTGTGGGCCTGTATGTCGACTAGACTCTACCAGTCTACTAGAGTAGAGAGAGTGTAGTCTGTAGCTTGTACATAGCGTAGGGCTACTCTACTCAGAGAGCGAGAATAGGCAGTGAACAGTCTCTACTAGAGATTAACATATTTACTCTCAAATATTATTTATCTCTCTAAGTAAACGAGAGACGAGACTTAATACTCCAAAGAGTAGAGAGATTGTCACTGAGAGTGAGCTAGCCTCCTGGTATACGACAAAGACATGTCTTCATAGCAAACTAGTTTCCGACCCGTCGCGATATGTCGGCTTAGAATACCATAATGTATATCGAACTTCTGACTGTAATAAAAGACATGACGTCTGGCTTCGGACATGTTGTCATAGCGAAGTAGTTTCCGACAGTCTTATCATGTCGTCATAGTGAAAACTGCTGTTTTAAACCAGCCCAGCAGATTTGAGATATCAGAAGGGCTGAGGGCTAAATCCTTTTTTACTAACTGGGTCAGCTAGCTGAGGCCTCAGGCCAGGCTGGCCAGAGCAGTGAGCAGTGAGCACTGAGCACTGAGCACACTAGAGAGAATTTTTGTAAAATAGTAATAGAGAAAAACATATAGACATATTTTGATATTCAACTAGAGAGAATCTGTTCACGTATAACGGACTAACGGTATAAACCTCAAGACCGGCGGGGATTTGACTATAGAGATTGACCGTTGACCCAGAGGGAAAATAAAAAGCCGATTCCATTGGTTATTAAATAGTAAAAATTGTTCATATTGTCGAGTAATAAACACATGCCTAATCTCATCCCGATCGGGCTATTGGTTCAAATGATACAGAGAAGGCAGTTTGTACCAGAGCTGGGTCAAACTAGCCAAACATATCCGTCCACACCTATCAGACATCCTTGGAATCAAAGTACGTTGCCCCTATATGTACTCGTTGGGACGATATATGTCCACTTATAGCGCCAAACCCTAAACTAACACCCCTAAAAGCCCCAAAACCCAAAGAGTATAGGAGCAACCTACTTTGATTCCAAGGATGTCCGATAGTTGTGGACGGACCTATATAGCGCTCATGTTTGGCTAGTTTGACCCAGCTCTGGTACAAATAGCCCGATCGGGATGAGATTAAGCATGTGTTCGTTACTCGTGAATGCAAACAATTTGAACTATTTTATGACCAATGGGATGTATTTTTCAATATACACCTGGGTCAACCTCTAAATGTAGTCTGTAGTCAAATCCCCGCCGGTCTTGAGACTTGAGGTTTATACATATTGTCTAAATACTTTTTCGAGGCCGATATTTACATATCTAGACATTCGTCTCGGTCCAAACTGCCCGAAAGGCAGAATATTACTTTTTTAAATACTTTTTTTTCTCTATAAAACAGTGCCGCTGGGCAGATTAAAAAAAACTTATAATTCATGATCCTCTGGATTCTGGAATTGTCTCTCAGAAATGATTTTCGTCTCGGGGAGAATCCATTTTTCATCCAGCGACAATTTCTAGAGGGCCATATAAAAGTATACTTTTTATTTATTTATTTTATTCATAGCCTATCATTCGAAAGCTCTTAGAATCTCTGTGAAATGTTATAAAAAACAACAAGACGCACTTGAGTATTTACTATTTACATCAAGCCAAGGTCTATGCCATGAGCACGAGTACGGACAGAACAGATTGCAGCTTCAAGTTATATAAGGCTTTCCTTTTGATTGACTACCAAATTCTATTTCGCATCTATCCTTCTTGAAGAGTACTATCAAATCTACCATACAATTAGCCTGCAGTAAGTGTTGGCTTGACAAATCACAGCATAGGTATGAGTTTCTGTGTGGGTATATATTCTGCATACAAAATTAAGTACATGTCGATTATCAACGATATAAAATATTCTGCCGTATCAGTGGTCAGGTCATACTTTACTTCGGCCCGAACTTCCGAGGATAGCTCTCATACGCCTTGCAAAGCGAAGAGCAGCCTTTCACATTTACTATGGCCTGTATATATAGGGAGAAACTATACCGCTAATGATGTAGGCACAATCGGCGAGAAGGTTGAAATTAACTTTAATTTCACGATATGTCGTAAATATTCAGCTAGATGCCATCGCCCCCTGGGCTGCGGTATAGGCCTGAGCGTATAGATCCGTTATCCATTGTTGTGTGAGAAAACGATCTAGTTGTATGACATATAGCGAGGAGTTGCGCTGAACTTCTGGTAACCTTTGATGACCTTATTGACAGCGTCTAAGAAATCCTTCTCCGTAGCGACCTGTAAGTATTCAGGTGAACGAACAAGTATAAATAAATAAAATATCCGAGTGAAAAAACAATGTTATTAAATATTAACACCACCCCTGACGACTGCGAACTGCCGAATATGAAAGCGGTCCTGTAAATGCGTAGCGGTAGCGTATGAGACAATAGAATACGTACCCACATGTATAGATACAACGATATGCATGTGTACATAAATATTTGTATAATTGGTTGTCTCTCGGACAAAATTGAACCAGGCGGATATATAGCGCAACAAAATAGATACAGGTCGTGCGTGTCGTGTATTATTGTTGAAGCCAAGACCCCACGCATCAATTCAAAAGCGTGCAAATAAGCCCTCAGCGCTGTACAATAGCGGACCTAGCATCCGCTCAGAGCTATGTATGCCATTGAATCGGCACCAACAAGCGTCACGAAAATAGCTGGAACACCAGTACGACATGGCTAAGATATCACACTGTCTGCAAGCACCAAAAATCAACGTTGATATGCTACCTATCGAACGCGACCACGTCGCTTATACATATCGGGTTGTTCAATCTGACCAAGTGTAATCACTTATCAGCCAGTTGTTCTACAAAGCACGAATGTGCAGGGCCGACGTTACCTTTCTTCTGGCTCGAATAGCGTACATTCCCGCTTCTGTACAGACGGAACGGCACTCAGCACCGGTGGCATTGGGACAGAGACGCGCAAGTAGCTCGTATCTGATACTTCGCTCACAACTCATCGCGCGCGAATGGATTTTGATGATGTGTGCACGGCCCTGAGGAAAGCAATGAGATAGGATTTGTGTCAGGCGGGTAGAGTGCAATCATACATGTGTTCGTGGATGAAGGTGTTGTATTTAGGGTTTTTAGGGTTTTAGTAAAACCCTAAAAAATGTGCTGCTGCTGCACTGCTTTGAATGCTACGTTGCAATGGGTTGTGGTGTAACATGGGGTGGCGTAACGTGCATTAGTGTAAAACTATGCGGTGTATTTTAGTCCATGCATGCTCCGAAGTGTACAACGTTCCCTCGGTACCGGGTTTGCGGCCCGGAGATTTCCATGTGAAATCAGTTGAAATGATACATCAAGCCTGAAGTAGTGCTGGGGCGTGTCAGGATCAACCAATACTTTGTGCGGGGAGACACTACAGGACTATCCATTTGTTAAGACCAAAAGCGATATGATATGGTAGTTGTACAGAATAATTTGTGACATACTAGAAGAACAGAAACAAAGCTGGTTTTCAAAATCTCCTATAAACCCTTGCCGTTGGTGAGATGTCTCTCTCTTGCATTTGCACATAACGCACAAACAGCTTTCTCCTGAATATTTATACCATCGAGAAATCGCATACCTCTAGATCTGGCAGTCCGAACTCGATCTTTCTGTCCAATCGACCCGGACGCAATAGAGCGGGATCTAACGTATCCGGCCTGAGGTTGGTTTACAAGAATTGCTAAGATCAGATATACAGACACCAAGCAACTTGATATACTCGCATGAATAGGAAATTCAACAGACTTTCCTACAACCACCCCACCCTCATGCTACCAGAGGCTTCAGACACTACAGCCACTTCTTCTCCGAAAAATGTGCTTCAGTACAGCATGTATAGAGACTGACGTTCCTAATATTCCCGACGCACAACCACAAGGTACACTTTCATTGTAGTTAAAACATACGGGTATAATAGCGCTATGCATACAAATATGAGAAAGCAATAGTGCACATACACAAGAAATTCGAGATGGTGATAGACTAATTCATATCACAAAAGTTTACACAACCCTGACCGAAAATAGAAATATTCACTGTATATATCTTCATGCAAAAAATGGCGCAGACGAAGCTCACACAAAAACTCACCCTCGACTCGTACAAAAAAAATAACAACAGAATATATATATATATATAGAACATGCGGATACGTACCTATATAAAGTACATACAGCAATATATAAATACCTATTTGTAGCCATAAGCACTTTGATATTGCCCCTCGCATCAAAACCATCCAGTTGGTTGATAAGTTCCAGCATGGTTCGCTGCACCTCATTGTCTCCTCCGCTACCGTCGTCGTGACGTGCGCCACCAACAGCATCAATCTCATCGAAAAAGATAAGACATGCCTAAGAACGCACGTGATGAGATAAATTAAGTAGCAATTAGTATCTTGATACGAGGCAAGCCAAGATACACACATGCTACAATTAAAGCAATCAAGAAGGCTAACTCTCGCCGAAGATAGGATGAAGTATCCAAGTGATGTGATGCCAATGTTAAATGTTGGAATCAGCAATGAGACAAAAAAAAAGGTCTATCTCAAGCGCGCATGTCGTATTAACAGATGCCATACACCACGCTGAAACGATATCCATGAAACTCGAAGTCTTCTCTGGGGCCGAGTTGATGGATATATTTATAAAAGTACATTCGTCAAAATCATCACTATGCACTCGTCTATGAATTGCCTATAGACAGACTGTTGTAAAATATGTGGAGATTATATAAAAGAAGCAACAGAAGAGTATATTGTATGGACAATTGTGTGGTTTCGAGCAAGGTATGCAAAGCATGACTATCAATAAACAGCGACGGTGATCCACAAATAGAGATGCGAAGTAGTCAATGAGATGATTAACAATACGAGACAGACCTCAAACAGCTCACTGATCATGCGTGCACCCATTCCCACGTATATATATATATATTGGACCACAAGATAACAAACCCAACCCCGAGTCTGCCACTCACTTTCTTAGAACGGGCCATTTCGAACAGCTCACGGATCATGCGTGCACCCTCTCCTACATATTTTTGAACCAATTCTGACCCAATGACACGGATGAAGCACGCGTCTGTGCGATTGGCCACTGCTCGCGCACTCAGCGTCTTGCCGGTACCGGGAGGGCCATATAACAGTACACCCTTGGGAGGCTCAATGCCAAGCTTCAGGGATAAAGGAGCGCTATGAGTGAGTGAAGCGATTTATATATGTAGATATAAATAGCGATACTAGAGGATCCTTGATAGCACAGCACAGGGAAAATACAAGCAAGGTGAAAAAGGTGGGGGCGATGAAAGCAAAGTATCGGTGGCAACACGCCGACGCAGAAGCAGCTCACGCTTAGGGAACTCGATACCACGCTGTGACCACGTGGATAAAGTCTACGGCTATGTGAGAGTCAGGTGTGAACTGACACATCACCCCAACTCCCAAGAAAACGCAGCCAGCAAGCAAGAAGCTCACACTAACATGGTATAAATATGCTTGCAAACATAAAACGGGGCAGTGACATATATCACACACCTGTACAAACCGCTCGGGATGAAGCAGAGGCAGTTCGACAACTTCCCTGAGCTTCTCAATCTGTTCCTTACACCCACCGACGTCAGCATAAGTGACGTCGGGCTTCTCCTCGACTTGCATCATAGTCACAGTCGGGTCAATCTTGGGTGGCAAGGGGATCTGGATTTTGTACTTGTTGCGATCCACACCCACTCGCATACCCTCTTCAATGTCAGTCGGCGCAACTCGGTCTCCAAGGCCAACTACAAACTGTATTTGTTGGTGTGTGTAATGATAAATGTTTAGGTAAAAAAACAACACTACAACATGGTATACTTTTCATAACAACTATACATTTACGACTTTCAGTGCGGATCGGTCACCAAAGGCATAGACAGCTATCATTCACGGGGCTCATAAGAATTGCTACAGCAACGTCCACTGAGGATATACATTAAAAGATCTAGAATAGTCGGCGTAAACTGGTCAACAAGTCCAACGACATCCTTGTCATATAGCTGTAGATTTGACTACAAATACAGGATGGACGAGCCGGACTAAAACGCAGCCATCATCGAATGGATGCAGAAAAACCTATTTCGCATTCGAAGAAAACCACTCAAAAAATGATCCCGATCACCTCTTGCCATCCACAAGCGCTAGAAATTACCAAACATCCCCGCGGCCCTCGAAAGATCTGCGGGCACAAGACAAGCCGCTATACTCCAAACCGCCTCAGGAACCTATATACCTACATGTTCACAACCAGGAGTGTGATACTCATTCTGAACCTTCCTCGACTCAGATGTACATACGCACAGGAATCATTCACATGCCAACCCACCTTTGCGATTTGCTTGACATTGATGACGTATTGTGCCTCGTCCTCCTCCTGACCCTGTGCGGCGCTGATGATTTTGGTACACCGGGCGACTTGCAGCGGTTGCTCCTCCTTCATAGCCTATAATGATGAACAGAGTTCATTAATATACCAGAAATGCGGGTTCACACTAACCTGCTACACGCACTATAAGTAAGCGAATCCAGACACACTTTCCAACCAAATCCAATCGATTGCAGAACCGGGCCTGCGTCTCCGCTGGCCGTTGTATTATGTCTCTGACACAATATATAAGCTTGGAATAAACTAGTAACCGGAAACTAATCATCCTCACTTTCGATGTGCCTGCCATATCTTTAGTCTTAAACCAAAACTTCATTGCGCATCAAAACAATTCGACGGCACTGTTGATAGACATTTAATACAACTGAGCACAATCCAGACAAGTTTATCCCATGGATTGAGTGCTGAGACGCTGGAACGCGGAATAGGGACGAGCGAAAAAAAGGTGCACACACAAAATGGAACATTCAATGCCGAGAACAGGACTAATTATATTCCATGCAATGTATAGTGTGTATGTACTTCGGTGAAGAAATGCAGACGGCACTCAAGCCATAAATAATATACAACTGACTACGACAGGCCCAACTCCAGTATAATAGGGTAATAGAGGATAGTTACATACACAACATCGGATTAGAAAGAACATCAAATTAACTTGTGTAGTCTAATGTGTTCAATTGTACCTGTGCGTCGGCGTTCAGGTCCCAGAAGGCACGATGAGCCAAGCCAGTATCACTGTCTTTAATACCAGCCAGCGCATTGATGGCTTTAAACTCGGTCTGGATGTCATCCTCAGCCTAAATGCAAAGTAAGTGCATGTATTTGTATGTGTCAGCGTCGGTGCATGAGTGTAGATTGAGGAGATTTTGAAACAAGAAAAGCGGACGAAGGTATAAAAGTGTGTGTAGTACTATTCTGAATAGCTATAAGAAGTAGTATATGTGGCTACTCTTCCAAAATAGAACTTTAGTGTCTCAGGGCAGTTCACGTGCACCATATATTCTAATCCTAATCGCAAATGAAATCATACGCTATGCTGTCATCGCAGAGTTGTATCAGCTATATTGTGCAATTTCGTCACACTAGTAGGTATGCCACACCGTTGCTCAACTGATTTCGTTAAACTGACCATATATGTGATTGAAAAGCATCATGTTCAATTCAAAAAAAAGGCGTCATACACGTGGACAGCTTCAGAAACAACTCCGAGACAGTATAACTCAACCTCTTGATATCACGCTTTGAATATATAAATCTGAATCTGAATCTGAATCAAAACGAAAGAATATATATATATATATATATACATATATATAAATATATATATATATATAGGAAAGAATATATATATATATCGGGATATATATACATATATTTATATATATACAT